TTAAGCTTTACCTTTGGTGTTAAGCAGTGACTTACTAGATTTCCCTTTTAAACAATTTCTGGAGTGAAGATTCTTTGGCTTTGGGGGACTATGCTATCTAACGACAGTCAAACATCTTTTTTTTTTTTTTTGGTAAAGAAAAATATAAGTCTACTATTAGATACCATAAGAGATACAGATTTCGGAAACCGACAGACGCAATATGCACGCCTTCCGTAATGAAATCACCAACAGCTGAATTCTCACTTACCCTGGATTCCTTCACATCTCCACTCGCTGGAGCAACATAAAGGTGCCTTATTGTAAGTGAAAACCAGGCCCTATTATTTTAGGCTAATCTGAGTACTGAGTGCCAAGCTACTATCTTCTGCTGCCTGAACATTTTAACCATACAAAAGAATCGATTGTGCTAGCAGTAACGTTGCCACAATGGCTGTTTTACACTACAGTACTTTCTGTACTTTTTTGTATCTGGAATCCAAATCTGTTTATGCAAAAGGGTGTTTAAATTACTCTGCTAGAGCACTGCAATTATTGTACTTAGTAAAAAAAAAAGTCACTAAACAATTACTGTATCTATCAACTGCTCATTTACAGCTTATTTAATTATTTACATGATTTTAGGACACATTAACCTAAACCATAAGTAGAATTACCTTTTTGCCTTACCATAAAGTACAAATTAGAAGTTAAAAATGTTTAAGAAATCTGATAATATTTACAGATGTTCAGCTTAAGTTATGGTTGCTCACATTGTATGTTCTATGTACACATAGCAAAATGTTATGACCACTACTGATATAGTATTGTACCCTGGCCATCCCACCCTAGATTATTTTCTAGAAATAGTCAATGTTTTTGCCTTTTTTTCTTGGTTCCCCAAGGAATTTGTCGGTTTTGAAAACTTACTAGTGGACAACGCTGTTATAAAAATCTCGAGAGAGAAGAAATAGGCAAGCAATGTGAGGACTAGTCTAATTTCAGGTGCTAGGAGGTACAGTACTATCATCACGTCAAACAGTGCAATGCTCATATGAATTATAAGCATCCATCTGCTGATATAGAAATGCCCGGTTACCCTGTATAGTAAGTTGGTTTTTTTTAAATACATTACTCTTTTTTTTTTTTTTCTCAAAAATATATTCAAACACTGGTTGATGGTAGAAACAAAACTATTATTAGCTTATTCCTTTAACACACCAACGTATGAATGTGTGTGCATATATATACTCAGTACATGTATATATACACACATATGTCCATACAGACATTCAGGTATATGTCCATATGCACATATAGTTGGATAATGTTTAACATCCGTTCACTTACGTTTAGTACTGTGTTATAGTCTAGAATTGGAACACAGCCTAATAATTATAGTGAAAATTAATTGAGCTTTAATTCTAATGCATATTTGTCTGAAATAAATAGGATTTGTTCCCCAGGTGTAAGACCACCTCTCATTTTCTCTATGCATTGTGCTTTTGTACCTTACAGATTTGATGTCCTTTGTATTAGCACGTAAAAACTCTCTGAAGAACTCTTTGACATGCCGTTATCTAAGACTCTGTTTTCCTCCCCTGGGAATGAGAAAAGAAATGGTCACAACGTCATTGCTTGAGTCTTTCTTCCCGGTCATTGAACTGCGATAGGATAGAAACATAACATTCCTTATGCAAACACAGAAGTATGTTGCATGAATTTTCAGTTCTGAAAATGTGTATCATACTTACTAGCAGTCATGTACAGTATATATTTACAGATTGATCTCAAAGATTTCATTAAAACTGTGCCATGTTATAGTCATAATTTGCCCATGAATTTCACAAAGATGAAAAACACCTTAATTGCTGGCTATCATGTCTAATAGAACAATAAAATGTGCAACTATAATTATATTACAAGGTTTATCTAAATTGTTAACTTTGACGTTTTGCTTATTGAAACTAATAATTAACATGATTAAAAGGATCTAGAATATTCATTTTTCGGTCAATTCTAAAGAAACCCCAAATTTATTCTGGTTTACCTGGAGGGTAGCACTCGTGGCAAACCTCACGTCTCACGTATGTTGGCATAACTTCTCACTTTCACTCAAGTATCTCAGAAGAAGGGTAAGCGCTCACCTTGGGCTCAAGTTATACTTTTCCCTTGACAGTGCCTTGCCAGTCTTTCTCACCCCCATCTTTTTGTATCACAGTGTTAAGCCTTAGTACAAAATGATATAATCCTTCTCTTTCACTAATTTTATACATCACATTAATAGCCAGAAGGACATAATAAAAGCGAAAGTGCTTCTTCCCCCCAGATAATATATCTTTCCTAGTGACACCTGAGCAGAAACCATTTTCTTTTACTCTCTGAATAGCGACATCAAGAGAGTATTATGGCTTGTACTGTAACTTCAGATAAATTAATATGCGGTTCTAGGATTTACTCTTTGTGGTTTTCATAATAGCTGATGTGGTAAACCAATGCAGAGAGTCAACATATTCTCTGTAAGGTTTTATATTTGATGTGCATCAACCACAAACAGGCCGTGAGCTCCCTGTATTCACACTATGCTTCTGTGAAATAAAAAAGGAGTTGGCAACAATTGGTGAAATGAAAGAAAAGCTTGTACAGAAGAATACTATAAGACTGCTTTTATTTATGATAATTAATACCATTTTAAAGAATAGACTTTGAAGAGAAATACTGAATTTTGATGTGGCTCCTTTTCTCAGAATTGGGAAAAAAAAATCCAACATGATTCATACTTATCAGTTGAAATTCCGAATGCATCTACAAAGCTTATTGCATTATGCATGAAATGCAGTCAGAAATTAAGTACGTGAACAAAAAGCAACATTTTGACTTGGCAAGTTCATGGCATGATGAAAGCCTGTCTCTACATAGTGCAGAGTCTGAACCTGGAGGCAGTAAGTGAATGTACACACAACTCCCTTGAAAGCACCAGGTGGTGTGTATGCCTGGCAAAGCCCATTTCAGGCTCAAAACTATTCTCTCCCATTTGAAGCAGAAATAAGCATATGATATGCTCAAGACAAAGTCAGAAAATTGGCCTATTAGTTCCCAGAACTGTTTTCCCCCTGTCATTGTCATTCACTGTCAAATGGGAAAAAAAAAAACCACGTAAACTTGTAAGAAAATTACTCTTTCAAAGCAAGAACAACAAATTCAAAGAAAATATTTTATGAAAAATATTCCTAAGAACTATCTTAAAGTATTGCCAAAGGAATCCTTAAATGGGGAAAAAGTATCTGCCTGGAAAAAAAGCCTTTGCTATGTGGAAGATAATTGAATTCTAGTTTCTTTCAGAAATTTGTAAACAGATGAGAGGTAGCATAAATACAACAGGTGTGGCTTTTGCTTCATGAAATATTTTGTGTCAAACAATATTGGGGATCCCATTTAGTAAAAGCCATCAGGAATTTATACTTTTTATACAGTTTTTGCAATTTTTTTTTGTTACTAAAAGGGTTCCACAACAGACTAAATGGCAAGCTCTACTTCGCCTATAAAATTCTATTGTTTGTCTATTCTATTTTGCCTATAAAAGTAAAGCTCTATAGAATGAAAAAAAAACCAAAAACAAACCAAGCTTTTATTTCAAAAAGTTTCTTAAAGCAAAACTGAAATTTGCTAGTTTTTCAATGGAAATCATTCTAAAGCAGGAAATATTCAAGAACGTAATTAAACTCTTAAAGTGATAGCTACCAAATTTTTCCATTTGAAACAGTGCATTAAGGGGAAAAAAAAAAGTGAAACGGTATTGCCTAATCTGGACTGAGAAAACACCCTGTCAATATTTTTTGTACTGAGTAGATATGCTTGCATCCTTACTGTTGAAATAGGTAAGATATCTTTAATCAAACTGGATGTAAGGTGTTAAGCATAACAACAGTAGCAAGCCTAACACTGGAAAGATTGCAAACTTGGAAGAAATCACAGAACTCCACAGAAGTATTTCAGACTAAGGTATGTACGATAACTGACAACATTCATTTGCACATTCATTTTACGTATATGTAGCCTTCCCTCTCCTTGGCCCCATATTTTACAATTGCTCTCCAGCTCTCCCCACCCTGGAAGGGCAGGGCACTGTTGGTTTCCTTCAGCTACCTAGAGAATTACTATTTGGCCAACCAATTTTGGCACTTTGGACAGATTTTTTCCTTTCCCCAACACAAAACAGCAGCATATCTACCCATTCAGAGCTGATGCATTTTTACACCATTGCTACATTCCTCTATTGATCACAACTACAGTCATTGTGATTGTGAGCATATGTTCCCTCTTTAAAATCCAAACAAAACTAGTGCTTTTTGCTTCAGCTTCTGTGCAAACACCCAACCCTAATATTATCAGTCAAAGGTTTAGTTCTTTCAATAAATAGCAGGAAATACCTGAATATGGTTGGGAAACCTCTGACCGTCGTCATCTGGGAAAGATGATAGGCACTACTAGTTTTCAAGTTTACGCATTTAAAAGGTAAAGTGTATATGTTTCATAAGCATGATAACAACTCAGTACACTCTCTTAAGTGTAGATGCATGTCTTGGATATGCAGTTTCCCTGGGAATGGTATGTACTGCTGTTGAAACTAGAACTTGATTCTCAAATGCCACTCTATAATTTGTATCGCTAAACTCAAATGGCCATTAAAAAAAAATGAAGAAGAAAAAAAATTAAGAAAAACAAAAAAAAGAGAGAGTGAGGGTCAATGAGACAGAAATGATTGTCAAAATCCAATTTGCCTTCACACTCAAAATGCACTTATATTTTGATAAGGGGATCTGTCCATACTGCAACTTGACATGTTTACGATTTAGCAGATACAACCAAAACATTATAAAACCAGACCATAGAGTGGGCCAGCAACTAAGGTGTTTTAAAATAACTTTTTGTCCTGAATAGAATTTTTCTAAGTCCCACTTCTGGCTGTACAACCGATTTGAAGAGAAATCCAGTTCTTGCTTCCTGTGTGGCTTTGTTTCTTAGTTCACATAGTAAAGCCAATAGACAATATTGAAGAAGGAAAAAACAACAGGGAAGAATATGCGTGACCATCGATCTATGGCATTTACATCAGTCAAGTCAGGAATGGTAATTTTCAGTTGAGATGCACGTCTCCGTAGCCTACTTTTCTTCTGTGCCACGTGTCGCTCCAGGGCGTTGCGACCAAAGCTGTGTCTGGGTAAGCCCGCTTTCCGGTACTGGATGCTTGAAGTGTCATAGGCCAGCATAGTGCTCCTAGGGTCCCCAAGCCCCATCACAGCCTCGGAGGCAGCCATCTCATTTTTAATTTCAAGTGTGCTCAACAAAATATTTTCATGTGGATCCATCTGTAAAAAATAAGAAAGCAGATTTAGCAGGAGAGAAAGGAAGCCCCATCAGATGCAAACTGAAGCCATGCTAACAAGGGCTAGATCTAACATTACAAATTCACCAGATGTTAGCCTGTCTATAAGACTTTAAGCATAGCTGTGATTATAGTTATCGTCATTTATTTGTGAACTCAAGGAGCAATAAGGCCAGTATCGTACAATGGAATAAATGGTCTTTCCCTAGACCCCAAGTTCAGTGAGCAGAAGCAATACCTGGAAATGGAGTACATGCTCAGCTCCTGAAAGTGGGATTCTGCCACTGGGTAGGATATTTGGGGACAATATTGAACTTTTTGGAGGGAAATCAAATGGAAAAGGGTCTGCTTTGATTTGGTTTTTCTTCTTTCAAATGAAAGCTTCTGCTCTGACAAAAACTTCAGGTATTATTCACAAGGTCTCTCTGCCTCTATAAAGCAAGGCACAAGAGAACGCAAATTTTCAGTCCTTATACTCCAAACAGGACTGATGGTTACTTGGGGAAAGGCACCAACATAGTCTAACTATACCTATGTGGAAACTCCATACCTCAGTGCTAATGACTTTCATAAATTCATGCTGTGGAGACCTTAACGCTGGAATAGCAGAGATGTGCAATTTAGCACAAGGAAAAAATACATACAGAGTGTAATCACATCAAATGTGCGTCGAACAGTTGTTTCAATGGGTATTTTTAGCTACTGTATATTTTTTTTAAAGGCAGTTCAGTGAAAAAAATATTAATGCAATGTTGTAAAGAAACCCCTTAGACAATTAAGGGGATTTCAAAGATGAGGAACTAAATTTTACTCCTAGGCAATGTGGAGTAGATCTGAAGTATGGTAGAACAACTTCGAAATAGTCCATTTATAGAAAACAAATATAAGGTTATTTAGGGAGTTCTAACTCTCCTCAGCCTTCTGTCTAAGTATATATCTTGAATTGTGTGATTACAGAATATAATTAAAAAAAAACAACTTTGAAAGCAATAAAAGCTAATGAGCAGCTCATTAAGTACACTGACTTAGTGATGGTAGTGCAGATATCCTCCAGGTCAAATAAGAGATGAAACTGTCCCAGAGCTCCTTTAAGAATAACTCAGCCACATTATTCATTTATCATGTACGTACTATGTACTGTGATTATTATTGAGTGCACAAACTGACTTTTGTGGATTTCTAAACAATAATATGGCATTAGGCTATTCTGTAATATTTAGAAGCCAGCAGTCAGCCGCAGGTACCTCACTGCACTGCCCCATATAGCACCGTATTTGCCATTATTGAAAAAAAGAACAAACCTGTGTAATATTTCACATGGCACGGTGGGAGAACTGGGTTGAAAACCATTGCTTTTTTAGTAGCATCCACTGCACAGTATTATGAACTGGGAACTCTGATACTCACAAAAGTACTTTGGACCTACTGAAACACTGCCATTTGAGTGATTACATCTGTTCAAGTGATGCATAAAAACTGGCATTGCTGAGATGCCAGATTTTGCCCTCTCTCTTTTTTTTCCCCCAATCTATGTGAGTTTGCACCCCTCTAGTTCCTTTATATTTTCATTTCAGATTAAATGTAATGACTCAATGTGAAGCAGCCAAAATCATCTATTTTTGCTTCATTTCCACCAAAGCCATATGAAATCTTTGAATTTTCTAGTGTGTTTGGGAAATCAATCTTTTTTGAGAAGCACTGGAAAAATGGGAAAGTTGAGCTGGAACTCAAGAAAAATTCCTTGAGGAACTCTGTAGGATGATATTGAGGATGGTGAGGAAACACTGTGTTCCAGCCAGGAAGGCCAACAAATCAGTTCTCATCTGCAGTAGACAAAACTAAGGCAAAAAGAATATTCTGCTATTGTAATATATTCAAAAGCAAACATATGCAAAAGCTTTCAAATAGATCTATGAAACTTCTCAAGAGAGCTTTCAAACATTTTTTTATAATGAGTGCAGTTATTTAGAAAATTCTTATGTCGTTTTTGGGGTAAGACAAATTGGCTCTCATTTTTGTTATAAGATCTCAGACAAATAATAAGACTTTCAGTATCCTGAAAATAAAAGCAATTATAGGCACTTGGCATTCATTGATCCCAAGAATGCCTAAAAACAAATAGGAGAAGTATCTCACAAGAGGGGTGCAAAGCCATTTGGAAACTACATTTTCCATAGTTTCACGTAGCCTTAAGAATAGAAAATTTTGTTCCAATGACATCAGGGGAAGTTTGGCATACTATCCACCAATGCAGTGGTTTTACCCCTTAGCCTGTAGCCTGGGGTATTTTCACCTCAGCGTTGTGCATTCTAAGACACTATTTTTAGAAAGATTTTAGTGCCAACAGATGTGTTCACACCTTAAATCTTCTTAAGATGAACCTACTTTAAGCATTTTATCCTTCTGATCTGCAATAATAGTAGAAATTTGAGTGCTCTTTACACACTCATATACTTTCTATGCAACACAAATACAAGAAAAGTTATTTTAGTCTACTAGAGTTAGATACAGACATGTTTTAGTGACGTGGTATCACTCCTTCAGTTAACTTTTTGCTTTCATTCTTTTGTCACTTCTGTTCTCATTTCAGTACATTTCTTAACACAGCAAAGTGCTGCAGATAGCTGTGATCTTGGCAGTAGTTAGTAAGATTAGTGATGCTGGGCAGAAAAAACATTTAGCGATATTCTAAACTGTCCTCTAGGGCAAAGTGTCCTCTTCTGCACATATCACACTGATATCAGAGTTGGAGCACAGCATTTTTCAATATTCCAAGAATATTTCAGAAGAAATAATGCAAAATACAGTAAAAATTAGTGATGGGCGAACCTTCAAGTGTTAGAATAACCAGGTAAGCACCACAAAGTTCAGGTGCTTCTCAAGCACAAATTTGACCCGCCTGCACCTGGAACAGTGGATTGACCGTAACAAGAACTGCGTTTTGCAGGGTATTTTGATTTCCCAATCTGAAGAACTCCCAACATTCCAATTCAGAAGTACAAATACATGTGAAAAATAAAAGAAAGAAAGAAACAACAACAACAAGAAAACCCAGAAAGAAATTAACCTAACTTTTCAACCTTTGACAAGAGGTTCCTTGTCAGGTTAGAGAGAGCTGGGAGTGTTATTTCCACCGAGCAGGTTCGCCCAACTCTAAATAAAACATGCCTTTGTAACTACGTGAAGCCTGAGATAGAATGATAACAAATTACATTTATTGTACACAGCACCGCCCATTTGAAAGGATCCCAAAGCGCTTTACAAGCATTAGAAAGAAGAACCACTTCACTTCCCAGGGAAGCGCAATCACCTCTGAGGAGAAATGTGGTGACTGACAGTGCAGAACGATACACTATATTTTAGTCAAGGAAATGGAGAATGCCATAGCCAATTGAAACTATGGGGTGGGTGAGAGGTGGTGGGGAATGTTAGGTAAGCAGAACAGTTACATAAATTGATATTTGGCCAGATGCTTGGGGTTGAGATGACCACGCTATAAAAAAGTGCCATGGGATCTTTAATGACCGTAAGTGGTCAGGACCTGAATTTTAAATCTCTGAGGATAAAAACATTAGAAAACAATGAAAGATACCTTTGTTGAATACATTTCTGGACAATGATATGTGCCAATTATTCTTCTGTCCTGTAAGTTAATAAAATCAACACCAGTTTCCTTAGAGATAAGGCAGCTATTATCTTTCATTTAAAAATAAAGCACTCTAGGGTAATGATAGGACAACTAATTAAAAGATGTAGGGACCTCTAAGCCAACAATTAGCACAAGTATACTCTGGCTTCAGAGGTGCTGTTACTGCCTTGCTCTGCTCCTCAAGGTAACATAACATTGTGATGTAAATGTATTTTTTCCAACTGGTCATTTGACCAAGGAAGATATGATGATATGAAAACAATTGTTAAAATTATTCCGGGGGAAAAGTAAGTATAAAAGTGGTTTCAAAAGGAGGTGGAAGAAGGTTAAAAAGATCTCTTGGTGCTGAAGGATTGTTCAACCATAGAACTAGACTCTTTATGGTGAACAGGAGAGTTCAAACTTAATGGAGAAATTTCCAGGGAGAAGGAAGGCAGGGAGGACGTGAAGATGAAGAAAAAGCGCAGCAAATACCATGGAAATAAAAGGTGAAAGCAGAGGTGGAGGAGAAATGACTAGAGCTCAGCAACCATGCAAGAGGGTGGGGTTTTAATAAATCAATCTTAAAGGTGGATGGCAAAATATATGATGCAAATGATATTCACTTAAAGGTCCAGGTCAACTGGAAGAAAAGCTGACTCTGGAGCCTTGAAAGAGGCCATGGCCTTTTCGATGGCCTCAAAGCGAATACAGAGGAAAGTGTAGAAATGTTACCATTATATATACTTCCAGCTACTTAGAAACTCCAAAATGATGGCTTTTTTGAGGAATTCCTCTTACACTAATACATTAGCAACTGTAAAATACAAGGAAATTACAACTCCCACACACGTGCATACATACACACATATGTAGATTAGGAATCCTCCAAGGATGACCAGGTCTCTGAAACGAGTAACAAGTAAACCAGCGTCTTGGTGATTATGCTCTACTGTTATGCCAAACACAACTTTATAGGAGGAGGGAAATTTATATTGATGAATTGAAAAGATATAAATTTACACTCTTCCTTCCTCATATACTGTTCGTTTTCACCTATAACCTTCAATTAGAGACAGGTAGTGATGGCTCATTGTATGGCAGAATGGCTCAGAAGCCATGGATAAAATAGACAGTAGGGATGGAATTTCTGATGGAAAAACCTTGTGAAACAAAACAGTTGTAAATTCAAAAGAAACATCCTTTTGTTAAGTAGGGCTGCCATTAGCCAAAAGCAAAATATGGTGAGCTAAAGCACAAAGGGACAACAGAAGTACCCAGTCTATTACAAAGATTAACACCTGAGATTAGGTCTCAGCATTTATAGGTCCTGTGAACTGATATTTTAAGAGCTG